GTCAAGTAAAATGATTTTTATTCTTAACATCAGAAAGAGGCAGTTGAAATTTATGGGACATATAATATATTAATTTTTAAACAATATAATAATTGGTATGTATATTTTTCTAAGAGTGTAGATCAAAATTTGACTTTTTTAAATCAATTAACCCCACACAAGGCGATAATGCATCTAAGACGTAATGAGCCACTGGGAGTGAAAGAATATGAAAAGTCTTTACAAGTAACTGGAAATCCAATCCTGAACAGAAATTATGAACGAATGATTATTTTTTTAGAACATTTTTGATCACCGAATTCTTTCTTATATTTTAGAATTAATTTATTGATAAAATCGAAAGAACAATCTGCACTATTATGTCCTGACTTAGCATCTCGGCTTCCATCACTTTCTCACTCCCATCACATAACTTACCTGCATCTTTTCTAAAAATATTTTCTTGGTTATTGTTTTCTTTCGTACCTCGACTTTACGAATTTCAGAGCAGTACTTGGTTGCCATCTTGTTCTAATCATTTTACACTTCCTAGATGTAACCGTAATTTCCCAGATTACAGTGTCTTCCATCGCACATCTCGTTCGTCGAACTTTTCAATCAATTTTTCATTCAAAAATTTAAATGCTATGTCAATTTTTTTCTGCCTTCTTAATTAATACTATTTCATTATTCTCTCATCTTCTAATGTTTTTTCTATTTTTCATATAATTTAACAATTAATAACTACTTGTGTCTTAGTGGCTTCATTGCCTTTCTTCAGGAGATATGATTTAAAAAAATTGAATAGAAATTATGAAATTAAAAAAAAAAACATTTTAAATATCCCAATGTGAAAATGTTCAGTATAGCGACCGAGGAAATTGTTGCAATCGCTGTCTCAATTGTGCAACTCTTTGGATCTATGTTTCTGTGCGTGTGTGTATATGAGTGTGAGTGAAGGCTGGAATTTTTAAGGAGTATTTACATACAGATCTAATTTCAGATCGATAGAAAGTTAGACGGCACTAAAATAACCTAATTATCTAGAAAAGCATCAAAGCATGCACAAACGCAAACAATATTCCCAAAATTGACGAGCGGAAGCATTAACTCTATAATCGATATCCTATAGGGATACAAAGCATCGCATATAACGACAAGGAAAAAAGAACAAATATATAAATATAACTGAAAGACACAAGTACACGAAAATCAACAATGTCATAGCGATCCGTTTGATCCGCCACAAAATACGAAAACAAGTCTATGAATAAAGAAGAAACAGCTTTAGGCAGCAAAATTGCGAATGACAGTTGGAAAGAAAAATATTTCTAAAATATTTCTGAAATATGAACAAAGTACGTACACAAGGCGAAAAGCAATTGCAGGTTAAATGCATTTCGTAGGGGGTTTTTCGCAGTAATGATTGACTTTTAGTTTCTTATGTTCGGGCACGTCTTTTAAACTCTCTCGTTAAAATTATATAAATTAAAACGGAATTACAAAATTTTATATTCCAAAGAAATTTTGAAATTGCCAGTAAGAAAATATATAATGAGATTAAATCTTGCAAAATATTTGTATCAACTAATCAAAATATATCGAATATTGCTACCACATATGATCTGGTGTTTCTCCTATATACCCAAAGGTTTTGACAAATATCCAAAGAATCAGTAAAGTTAAAGGTATTGATCTGTCATCTCGGCTTTAGTCAATTGACCAGTCCCATAACATAAATCCCCTGTGCCTTTTCTATAAATATTTCCATGTTAAATATTCTGATGAGTTTCATCATTGGTATCTCGGTTTCACAGATATAAATCCTGTAATACATTGGAAGCTGCGTCTCGTCATTTTCACTGTTGAAATTTCTTATTGTAACCGTAATAGTAATATTTTCTTATCACTTAAAAGTTTTAGAACTCAATTCTACATTCTTACTTTCCTATCAAATAGGTTTTTCAAAATTTTAAATGCTCCGTTAATCATTTTTTCTCTCCTTGGATCCTGTCATTTTATCGTCCTTTCTCTCTCTCTTAGTATCCTCTTGCATTTTTAGTGGCTTTTCTTATCTTGACAGAGCTGAAATGATTATATATATATATATATATATATATATATATATATATATATATATATAAAGAAAAAACAGTAAGATATATAATCCGGTGTTCTTATAGATATTTTATTTTTACAAAATAGTGCTCAATGTAAATTTACAGAGCATAAATATTATAAATTAATTGATTTAAAATATGTTTTTTTTCGCTACACAGTTCTAACCATGTTTCAAAAATGGGAGCTAAAAGCCCCGAATTTAATTTTGTGATTACATTAAAGACATTAGTTCCATTTCATCCTCAAGCGAAATTCGGAGTAACTTTTAAAATTACTGGGTTTTAAATACACAGCTAAAACAAAATTCATGTTTCCAAGGTTACAGATAAATCTATTTTGCTAGACTAGGGATGTCTAGGTGTTCAATATGTCTATACTTTAATGTATCAGTTATTGCTACGTTTTGGTAGTGGGTAGAGATGTATTTTTCAATGAAATCTAACATCCATTAAAAGCGTGTCGTCTGGATTTTTTTGAATTTTATTGTTAACGGCTAAAATTCTTACGGCATTTTTTTCTTCGTATGTCTAAAGATTTTTGGGGGGTGTTTAGGTAAGGATACTTTTTATTCAACTACGATTTGAAATATTTTTACTTTTAATTTTTAATATACTATATTTCTTCCAATTAAATGTAATTAGAATCCCTTAGAGTTTGTAGAATTATTATCACATCAAGTATATTACGATTTTTTAAAAAAATTATATTTAAATATTATTTAAGTAAAATTTCCATTTCTCTGATTTAATAAACTTTATTTATTTATTTAAACTTTAAAAAATTTAGAGAAATTCATTTTAATTAACTACAATTTTAATTACAACTTTAAAATATTTTCATTATTAGTTTTATAGACTGAATATTTTAAATAGAAAAAATATTAAATTACTTAAATTACGTAAAATTAAATTTCTATATCAAAATATTTATATTACGATTTTTAAAAATTTTATATTTAAATATTATTTAAATTGTAAATAAATAAATAAACTTTACCAAATCAGAAAATAAATTAGCTATTTTTGCCGTAAGAGAAAAAAATTATACTTAAAAAATTTTACTTAAATAATATTTAAATATAACATTTTTAAAAATAGTAATATAAATATACTTGATATAGAAAATAAACGTAATGTAAGTAATTCTAATACATTTACTTCTATTAAATGAAATATTCAAGAATAAAATATTTTTTAAAGTTGTAATTAAAATTGTAGTTAATTAAAATGAATTATAACCTAAACTTCTTTTAAATTGAGATTAAATAAATAAATAAAATTTACTAAATCAGAGAAATGAAAATTTTACTTAAATAATATTTAAATATATTTTTTTTTTAAATCGTAATATACTTGATGTGATAATAATTCTACAAACTCTAAGGGATTCTAATTACATTTAATTGAAAGAAATATAGTATATTAAAAATTAAAAGTAAAAATATTTCAAATCGTAGTTAAATAAAAAGTATTCTTACCTAAACACCCCCAAAATCTTTTAATATACGAAGGTAAAAATGCCGTAAGAATTTTAGCAGTTAACAATAAAATTTTTAAAAATCCAGACGACACGCTTTTTAACGGATGTTAGATTTCATTGAAAATACATCCCTACCCACTACCAAACACGTAGCAATAACTGATACATTAAATTATAGACATATTGAACACCCAGACAAAGTCTAGCAAAATAGATTTATCTGTAACCTTGGAAACATGAATTTTGTTTTTAGCTGTGTATTTAAAACCCAGTAATTTTAAAAGTTACTCTGAATTTCGCTTGAGGATGAAATGGAACTAATGTCTTTTAATTTAATTACAAAATTAAATTCAGAAAAGCTTCCATTTTTGAAACATAGTTAGAACTGTGTATCGAAAAAAAACATATTTTAAATCAATTAATTTATAATATATATATATATATATATATATATATATTGTCATACAAGACATAAAATATCTGGCATTTCGTTATGTTAACCAGAAAAAAGTCTGAACGTTGAAAACAAAATGCATTGCCTACACCAATAAATACAGTAATTTCGGTTCCTAAGTGAAGGAAAAGCATAAAAATTTAAAATTAAATGCCACAGAAGTACCTTTTTGTTTCAATAATATTTCACTTTTTTTAATGGATAAATTTAGGCAATATATATTCTGATGAAAAACGAACCAAACGGATATGTCGATGAAATTTAACTTGGAAAATTAATTTCTTTGTTTTTTATTTTATATGCAAGTCAGTAAAGCCACTAAAATACAATGGTTTAGTGGTTGTAAATGTATTAGAAAACATAAACATTATTAAGGAGAGAGGAAATTAATGAGGATGAGAGTAAATAGCGGCTGACATTTTATTTGAATTTTTGTAGATCAAAGTTAGCTGTAAAGCATGAAACCGGAAGAGAATTCTACAAGGAAGAGGTGCGAGAAAAGAAACTGTTAGCATAGAATTTATGGTCACATTTAACCAAGGCAACTGTAAATTGATGTGACCTTGTAACCAATATAGTAATGCGCTTCAATTCACAAAGTCTGGGTAACATAGAGAAGAGCACTTGCAAACAAGTACCATAAAATATTTATAGTGAAGTCACAGGGAATCCATTTTACGACGGTGGGAGAGTAACTGAAACTGAGGCACCTTCTTAGATCATATAATATTGCTGATTGATCTTTGGATTTTATTAAGAATCTTTAAATATATATCAGAAACATCGAGCCATATATGGCAGTAATATTCGAAGACTAAACGAATGGAAGACATTATTATGTAAATAAATTCTGGAGATAAAAATTTTCTAGCACGACACAATGAATCAACTTTCTAAGCAGCAGACATAGAAATGGTGCTATATTAGTTAAGTGTTAAATAAATTATAAAATATTATTCTTTCTGGCTTATGGTCATATCGCGTTGAAACAGCGGTTCCTGTACGATCACTGAAGGTAAGTAACGTCGAGCCTGGTCTTTACGTAGATGGGTGACCGCTTGAGAATACCAGGCGCTGTAAGCTTGGATGTGTAGGTAATGGATAACTGCTCGGTATTGGAAATCTGAGAGCCAAGTTTCAATTATGCTCAAATATCCGTGAGAAATTTATGAATGCACCACTTATTCCCCAGCTATGGGTTAATAAGTAAAACATGTTTGAGTAAAAATTATTATTATCTCAAAAACATTCTTCCAATTGAAAGAAAATATTACCTGGCTTTAAATAAGTTGCCAAGTGTTGATAAGCCGTCGAAGAAGAATCAATATATCAATATAAATCTTCTTCTATGTGACGTGTCCATTTAGGACCTTGGCAATCAAGGCGCTGCGTAATTTCCTTTCGTTGTAGCTATCAATAAATTTTGTCTTTTTTGTTATATTTCCTAAATCCTGTTCTTCGATCTATTTACTCAAGATCGCTAGGTAGGTTATGCGTTATTTTGCATTCAAATCCTCCAAGCCCTCTTTACTCGTTCTGATGTTAAGTGTAAGTATCCTTTCTGCTTTCATTTTCTCTAAAACTTCGTCGTTGCTCACGTTCGGTCCACAGTATTCTCAGCATCCTTCTGTAGAACATTTTTTCTGTTCCTTCATGTCCCTTCTTCTTCTGTGAGGAGATTGTACAACATTCATTGTCATATAAGAGGACTTACATTACGTAACAGTTTAGTACTGTTTATTTTGTTTTCTAACGATTTTTTAATAATTTGCTTAACTTTTGAAATGCGCCTTAGGATTTAAATGTCTTTCAAACACTTCCCAGATATTAAATGTACTAGTTTCATTTTGGTTTTTACTATTTTTTGGCATGGTGAGCTGTTACTTTTGCTTAAAAACATGCATTCTGTCTTTTATAATTATTTTTTGTCTATTCTTCCTGTTTTCCTTTGCTAAATTCTGTAGGGATTCTTGTAGTTTCCTTTCTATGTCTGCTATCAACATTGTTTTATCTACTGATCTTAAGTTGTTTAGTTTTTGTCGCCAAGAATGAATCTTAGTATCACTTTTAATTCTCTCAGAATCGCCTCTCTGTATATTCTGAATAAGTCCGGTGAGAAGGTATATCCTAGTCTTTTCTACTTTTGTATATTTACTGAATTTATTTTGTATCCGCATACAGGCGGTTTGCTGACATTTTATGTTCTGGATTATTCTAATAACCTTCCCAAAAATGTCAAGGTTACCTAGTAATTATAACAGTTGTATTGAAAAACACTGCTTTTCTTTATTTGGGCAATATCTCAAAACATTCTTAATTCTAACAGAAGTCTTTTAAAATTTACAACCAAATACGTGGCGTCTTGATGTTATATTTGATGCGTTACACATCATTGTCTGAAATGCTATTTTGTATGAGATGCAACTTGGTTCTTAGGGGTTTTTTATATATATTATAGATTTTAACACTCCCAGACAATATTTGTGCAGACAGCGCCAGAAAGAAATTGTGATAAAAAACATAAAATATCTGGCATTTCGTTATGTTGACCAGAAAAAAGTCTGAACGTTGAAAACAAAATGCATTGCCTACACCAGTAAATACGGTAATTTCGGTTCCTAAGTGAAGGAAAAGGATAAAAATTTAAAATTAAATGCCACAGAAGTACCTGATTGTTTCAATAATATTTAACTTTTTTTAATCGATAAATTTAGTCAATATATATTCTGATGAAAAACGAACCAAACAGATATGTCGATGAAATTTAACTTGGAAAATTAATTTCTTTGTTTTTCATTTTACGCTATAAAAAAGAAAACTATTTTCGCAACGTTGCACGTCGTTTTAAAAATGTCGAAATAGATTACCAACAACTAAAACAATTATAAAAGAAAAAAATAGAAAAATCTATGTCACTTTTACGAAAAAAATACGAACTCGATTAATTACAAGATTATTTGGAGTCTGTAATAAATTATATCATTCAATTTTCTGTCTTTCTTTCTTTTATTTCGTCTTTTTTTTTTATTAAAATAATTGTCCACGCTTTCCCGATTACTCCGGACTCTTCCTGTAATGTCATTGTGCCTAATGACCCTTACTGTGAACAACTCTTCACAATTGTTTACTAGCCATTCAGCAACTTTTCTATGAAGTCAAGACAATCACTTAACCATACATAATGAAGATTACTAGCTCGATGATGATTCCCTAGCCCAAAATAGTAGAATTTTAAAATTACTCGGGAATATTATTCCGCAATATTTCGAAGAAGACAGGTCATGTGACTGTTGTAGACTGCGGTGTGAGAAAAATTGTCTTTACCGTCTTCTAATCAAGAGTTCAAAAATTCTGCAAAGAGAAAAACGACAAGTAAAATCTTCCACATTTTTTCAACTCAACAAACAATTTCTGTAAAGAAGCTATATCAGTTGAGCTTTTCATATATATTTATTTTTAATATCAAGTAAGATTTTAGTATGTTTTATTGATTGATATATTTCATGACGTTGGTTTCAAAGATGCGATTAATTACCAATTGCTATTTTTAGTACATTTTAAAAATACTATATATATTGAAAATAATATCAAATTTAATAAAACAACAACAACAACAAAAACAACAACAACAATAATAATAATAATCAGAACATGAGTCATAAACACCTCGGCTGTACATGTGGTGCAATAGAATTTCAACTTCCTTAACTGAACCCTAGCTGACATTAAGGGAATGGATGCCACAACGAGAAAGCTTCTCATGTGTCATCGCATGCATCATCGCAAGGCTGTTTTGTTCGTCTCTATCTGTCTATGACAGAAGGATTAGTTTAACTAGAACTGTCCGTATAAACTACAAGAATCTGTCACTAAATATACCTAGAAACTACAGAATGCTCTATGATAATCTGTCAAAGAACACGAAATAAATAAGAAAATCTATTCACTCATCAAGGAAGCCAAGAAATTCAAAATGGTAGCTGAAGAAAAACAATACACTAAATGCAGCGTCAAAGAAATTCAAAAAGAAAGCAAATAAAAATGCAATCTACCATATAGAGAATCTATAGCAATATAATCCCCTCTCTGGGTAATTATCTACACGTACCAAACAAGCTGATGTAGACAAACATGGTACCCTTAAGTAGCTACATAATGCAGGGCTAAAAGCTGAAACCAAAAGTTTTATTCTTGCTTCACAGTACCAATGCATACTAACTAGGAATTACCAAGTACACATACTGAAAACTGTTTACCCAAATGGAGATTCTGTGATAAATACCCAGAAATAATTGACAATCTTCTATCAAGTTGCTTGGTAGTGGCACCCACTGAATATATACCTCGGCATGCTAGGCTGGACCAATATCTGCACATGAAAATCTGAAACTTTTACAGAAAGGAAACTGCAAGAAATTACTATGAAAACCACGAAAATATACTACTTCAATTGATCCAAATAAAAAAATCAAATTTATTATCTATTATAAAAAAATTAAGACAGCCAACCTTATCCTCAAAAATAACAACACACCAACTAAGTCAAAGTTGCAAAGAACGAACATTATCTATGAGTTCAAATGCCCCTTAAGGAACTGTGTTCTTGATCAAACCGGACTCATAAATAATTACATCGGCTACACAACCACTTGTTTATCCATACGTTTTAAGTTACACCTATCTGATCACAGCTCCATTAGAACCCATTTAAACACACACACAAATTTAGCCGACTCTATTAGGAACATACTAGTAGAAAACACAAATATATTAACTGCATCCACCTGCAAAAAAAGTCTAAACATAATGGAAGCTTTAGTAATAAATAAGTAAAAGACAACTCTTAACAATATTAACTATGAACAAAGCCACAATGTGCTAACCGTATTCGGAAATTGAAAACATCCCAACCACACACTAAGACATACACAAAACGCACACACTCAATTAAGCTGAAAATCGAATCATCCTTGATAATGACTAAAGGTATAGCCGAAAGCGCTCGGAAATATAAAACATTCGGACAGTTCTTACACACCCTTTGTCCAGAAAAGAAAGCTCTTGTCAGAACACAAGAAAAATTAAATAAAAAGCTTAACCTTAGTACCTTGTCTGTCGTCTTTAATGAAACATGCATAAAGGAAGAATTGCTGCCTAAATATACAACTATATATATATATATATATATATATATATATATAGAGAGAGAGAGAGAGAGAGATGCATGTATACTTTTAATGCAACATATTTTTATTAATTCAATCGTTATTTTCGTTATTTTTAGTGGATACTCGTACTTGAGCAGGACACCTCGAGGTGGTGTAATGGTTAACAAACTTTTCTCACTGGAACTATTACGAGTGAGTTCGATCCTCACTGGGTACCCCATACTTTCGGCCTTGTGCCACATCTGAGCTACACTTGGAAAATCACTACTCGTACTTGAGCAGATGCTCGATTTTATGTTTTTGCTTTGCTTTGTCTTTTTTTAAACAATATTTATTTCGTCTTCCGGTTTCTTCATTCGAGAACATATAATAAAGAAAGTTTTCCCTTTGAGAGCATACGAACCGGATCTCCCCTTTAAATTCAATATTACCAGCAGTCAAATCCTATCACATTAGACTTGGCCACATTGAAGAAATTGCAATAAATTTCCCCACGGATCGTTATAGTAAAATATTTAACACAGTCAATTGTTTGAGGGAATCGTTATTGTCAGTTATTACTACAACTGCTATTGTTGGTTGGGAATTTTTATTTTTTAACTTTTTCATTTTACGAAATTGTCCTATTTTTCTTTTTTCCCTGACGGCTGCTATTCAAGAATAAATAAATAGTTTTAATTGAATAAGACAATTAACCCCAACCATATTCTTTTTATCAGTTTTGGCTACAATTCAATTTATGACATGAAGGTGAACGCGAAGGAAAATAATTGTAGTAAAATAATTATATATAGAATTAATTTTGCGCCATATTTATTTTATTGTCATCGTAATGATATTGGTAATATTTACATAATTTTTCTTTCCAACATATACCAAATTAGAATATTCGACTTAGATCGAGTTTAGCCAG